AACGATGTCCATGGTCATTTCATTTTTCTAAGTAAAATACCATTTAAGAATAATATAGTGTGCAGTGGACTGGTCTCAGATGGTGGATCCTAAAGCCCCTGTCACACTGTCCCGAAATTGACACCCGATGGACACACGAATATTGAATTGTGAATTTCGCACGAAGATGGCCCCGAACCACACACGAAGGCAACATTTGCATTACATTAAAGACATACAACTACAACGAAAGTACCAAAAACAATTATGTTAAAGTACTATGATACTGTACTGATGTTTTCAGACTTTGTTCTTTACTTTATCTGTCTTTATATGTAGAAGATATTACGTTTTCTCCGTCATGTTGTTGTTTCCATAGCAACAACAACTTCCTGTCAACTCGCCTTCAAAATAATATATTATTATATCCTTTTCAGTTTCACAGAACACAAATTGGGTTATTTACATAATATGTTTACATGATTTTGTTGTGCAATAAAAAACCCGATGGACACACGATAAAGGAAATGTTCAAATTCGGCTGTGATCGTAGCAACATCGGGCCATTCGTGAGGGCATCTTAAGCCATCGTATGACCGCCGGTGGAGTTTCTCAGGCTCCGGCAGCAACTTCGTGAGCGGTGGCAAAATCTTTGGCATGCCAAAAAATTGCCGAAGGACCTTGAGAAGGTTCATTTTCCTGTTGAATTCGTGTGTCCATTTTGCCCTTCGTAAGGCCATCGTGAGGGCATCTTGTTATCATCGGTGCCATCGGGCATTCGCCCCGATCAGAGTGAGGGCGAATGCACCGATGATAACACGAAGATGACACGACTTGACAAGATGCACTCACGAGTGCCTTACGAAGTTGCCGCTCACGAAGTTGCTGCCGGAGCCTGAGAAACTCCACCGGCGGTCATACGATGGCTTAGATGCCCTCACGAATGGCCCGATGTTGCTACGATCACAGCCGAATTTCAACATTTCCTTTATCGTGTGTCCATCGGGTGTCAATTTCGGGACAGTGTGACAGGGGCTTTATAGAAACACAATCACTGATAAAAGTGTAATAGAGAATTAAACTTGATAGTCTGCACAGTCAGCAGTTATTAGGCCTTGGGGTTTGGGCGCCCTATTGTATGAAGATATCCTGGCGACTGTTTCCTGAGGCTCTCTTCATCAGCTGGGTTAAGAGATGACCCCTTTCTTACTTCTTAATATGCATAAAGAAAGGTTGTAAACCTTCTCACCTTCAGATACTGATAGGACTCAATATATGCATTGCTAAACAAACCGGACTAAAGTGAGCAGGCTGATCCGAACAGGACAGTCTGAATGTGCTGATTGTGTCAGACTGTTGGAAGTGCAATAAATCTTCAGTGTCTGACATCAGTTTGAAGCTCTGCTGTGTTCTCCTTGTGGTTCAGTTCTTTGCTTCAATAACTCCTTTACGACGTGCAGCAAATACAATGCAGCTGAGAATGATGTAGAAATAATAAAGATTTAAAATCGACCAACAAAAATAACTTGAATTCATACCTTGGTCCATCGCTATGCTCTCCATCTTTAAACATAATAAGGTGACGCATAGACCAGCCACTCTTCATGGACACACAGCTGGGTCCAGGAGAGTCTGGTCTCTCATGGGGGATCCTGATAGAAACACAATCACTGATGAATGTTCAGAAGATCCAACTTTGCTGATAATTATGTTGAATTTCAAGCGTTTTAATAAAGAAAAAGAAAAATGACTTTTGCTTTAAATTCTTACTCTGGACTATCATCATGCTCTCTAGCTTTATACGTAACAGGTCGAGGCATAGAGGGGTCACTCTTCATGGACACACAGCTGGGTCCAGGTCCAGGTCCAGGTCCAGGAGAGTCTGGTCCAGGAGAGTCTGGTCTCTCACGGGGGATCCTGATAGAATCAAAAACATGATGAATGCAAAGGTGCACTGACACTCTGCTGAACATGATGCTGACTTTTGAACATGTTAATCCTGATAAGATGAATAATAACTTTGGATCAGTGGTTTCCATCTTGCAGGTTGGCAGGCTCAAACGTCCTTTGGAGATTCCTGGAGGATCTGTTGTGGTGTCGAACCTAAACACAAACACAACAACATGCTCGTTACTGCTCCTTCCTCTCTGTCACACACTGGATCTGGGAATGAACAAGAAGGGAGTCTGAGTGAGCTCATACTAAATCAAACACAATGTATTTATCTATGGAGATTTACAATGAAGTGTGTTCATCAGCAATATCAAGACTGAGAGAAGTCAACGGACGAGCGGGATATCCGCTGTGAAGGTTAGGGTTAGGGTTAGGGTTAGGGTTAGGGTTAGGGTTAGGGTTAGGGTTAGGGTTAGGGAATGATGTACTTTTATTTTTCCTCTTCATAAGTTCTGACACTGCAGTTACAGAGTTTGTTCTCTTGCAATTGGGACATACAACTTCTTCAAAACATTGCACCTTTACCCACTTTTTATCCACTGCAAAGGATTGTGGGTCAGAATAGCCAGGAAAGCATGCTGGTTTACAAACTACAAAATGCAACCAGCTGCAGTTGAACACCCTGGTATTCTGGAGTCCTAGACAGGATGCAGGGTATTCTGGAGTCCTAGACAGGATGCAGGGACTCCAACACGTGCTGCACAGCCCCCACATTCACCCAGACAACAGTATGTTGAACATATACAGTTGCAAGAAAAAGTGAACCCCGAGGCTAAAGACTTGTTCAAGAGCTGATTGGAGTCAGGAGTCAGCCAACCTGGAGTCCAATCAATGAGACGAGATTGGAGGTGTTGGTTAAAGCTGCCCTATAAAAAATACACACCAGTTTTGAATGTGCTATTCTTAAGAAGCATTGCCAGATGTGAACCATGCCTCGCACTAAAGAGCTCTCAGAAGACCTACCATTAAGAATGGTTGACTTGCATAAAGCTGGAAAGGGTTACAAAAGTATCTCTGAAAGCCTTGATGTTCATCAGTCCACGGTAAGACAAAGTGTCTATACATGGAGAAAGTTCAGCACTGTTGCTACTCTCCCTAGGAGTGGCCGTCCTGTAAAGATGACTGCAAGAGCACAGCGCAGAATGCTCAATGAGGTGAAGAAGAATCCTAGAGTGTCAGCTAGAGACTTAAAGAAATCTCTGGCACATGCTAACATCTCTGTTGACGAATCTATGATACGTAAAACACTGAACAAGAATGGAGTTCATGGGAGGACACCACGGAGGAAGCCACTGCTGTCCAGAAGAAACATTGCTGCACGTTTGAAGTTTGCAAAAGAGCACCTGGATGTTCCACAGCACTACTGGCAACATATTCTGTGGACAGATGAAACCAACGTTGAGTTGTTTGGAAGGAACACACAACGCTATGAGTGGAGAATCCAAAGGGTTCACTTTTTCATGCAACTGTACATCGATAAGAAACGCTGTATGTTGAACACATAGGTGTTAGGCTGTCACAATGTGTTGAAGAACACCCACAATGAACTGACTTGGATAGGAGAGGATTTCAGAAACAAAGTCCAGCTGACATGAGACTCCACTGGAGCGTCTCTGACTGCAGTATCATTGAAGACATGAAGACCCTCTACACCAGGGGTGCCCACACTTTTTGGGCTGGTGAGCTACTTTTGAAATGACCAGCTCACCGAGGTCTACCAACCAAAAATAAAATCCCAAATTGCAAGAGTTGCTGAATAACACGTTTTATTTATACATGGGATAATAGGGCTGGACCTGGACCTGGACCTGGAGCTGGACCCAGCTGTGTGTCCATGAAGAGTGACAACTCTATGCCTCGACCTGTTACGTTTAAAGCAGGAGAGCATGATGATAGTCCAGAGTAAGATTTTTTTAAGCACATTTATTTTTCTTTATTAAAACGCTTGAAATTCAACATAATTATCTACAAAGTTGTATCTTCTGAACATTCATCAGTGATTGTGTTTCTATCAGGATCCCCCACGAGAGACCAGACTCTCCTGGACCCAGCTGTGTGTCCATGAAGAGTGACTGGTCTATGCCTCACCCTATAACGTTTGGGGATGGAGAGCATAGCGATGGACCAAGGTATGAATTCAAGTTATTTTTGTTGTACGCTTTTTAAATCTTTATTATTTCTACCTCATTCTCAGCTGCATTGTATTTGCTGCACGTCGTAAAGGAGTTCTTGAAGCAAAGACCTGAACCACAAGGAGAACACAGCAGAGCTTCAAACTGATGTCAGACACTGAAGATTTAGCACTTCTGACAGTCTGACACAATCAGCACATTCAGACTGTCCTGTTCGGATCAGCCTGCTCACTTTAGTCCGGTTTGTTTATCAAAGCTACTTCCTGTCCCCGTCTGCTTTTCATTGATGTCTCTTTTTCTGTCAGCCTGAATTTTACATGTTGCTGTTTAACCTTGTTGAGTGTTTCTTTAATGCATTGTTAGGTGCTCTTTGGTGTCTTGAAAGGCTCCTCCAAATATAAAATGTATTGTTATTATTATTTAAGAGTCAGATGTTTACTCTCTGACTCAGGGCATATATCGAGTCCTATCAGTATCTGAAGGAGAGAAGGTTTACAACCTTTCTTTATGCATATTAAGAAGTAAGAAAGGGCTCATCTCTTTACCCAGCTGATGAAGAGAGCCTCAGCTAATCTTCATACAACAGGGCGCCCAAACCCCAAGGCCTAATAACTGCTGACTGTGCAGGCTATCCAGTTTAATCGTCTATTACACTTTTATCAGTGATTGTGTTTCTATGAGGATCCACCATCTGAGACCAGTCCACCGCACACTACATTATTCTGAAATGGTATTTTACTTAGAAAACTTAAATGGCCATGGACATCTTTTTTAAGCTGTATGTCCAGTTTGAATGAGGATCTTCAAACACAGCTCATAACTCTTAGTTTCTGTATTTGTTTAAAATCCTCCTCTTTGCTCCACAGAGTTCATCAGCAGAGATCAGAGGGTCCTGGTGGTCAGTCTGCCCAGCAGCTTCAAACTCACCTGGACTCCATATTTATGGTGAGTAGACGCACAGCTACTCCTGCTGACTACAACAGCCACAAACTCACTACTGAATTGTGAACTTTTAGATAAACATATCACTCAACGTATTGGGTTATTAAAGCAGCCTGTAATGATTTGGTCAAATAAAGCATTGCTAGCAGCAGCTTGCGGTCCTGTGAGGGCACAGCAGCCGTGTGCGATGTGTGAAGAATGTGGAGGGTGGTGAGGGTGGTTGGTTCAACGCAGTGGATTTAAAGATGAGGAGTTCCAGATCATTGTTTTTATTTTGATTTGTTGATTCTTGTTTGTCTTAATTGTTGTCTGGTGGATCTGGTAGGAAAGTAAAACACATCTTAGTTCAAACATAATATTCATACTTCACATTATAATCCAGCAAAGCAGTTATCTTTGTACATAATGACATGTAATGTAGAAATAAAGCAACCAAATGAAAACGGTGCAGAAAATAGGAGATAAACTAATCAAGCTGCTATGAAAATACAAAGGAGAGGAAAACTTACTCAGACAAACAACTGGTTCTCAGGAGCTGCATGAGGCCAACATCTTTGTTCATGGGGGAGAGGGTTTGCCACAGGTGAGCTGGCTGCCTTTATAGATGAGCTAGCTCCGCCCCTCCAGGGTGGCAGGAGAAGGGAGCAGGTAGAGGGAGGTGAGAGGGATGTTCCCCAATGGGCTTTCTCAGTGAACAAGACAGTAACTTAAGGAAGTATCTGTTTGGAGAGACATCTCCATGCTGCAGTCTGCACACATGATCTGTGGCTCCCTCCAGTTAGAGACACAAGGAACAGCTGGCACATTTATAACATTATATCTGAGAGGAGCTAAATCCTAAATACTGCAGCATCTCAAATATCTATGTCACCAATGAATTATGTCATCTGGACCGCTCACTGCAGACTAGTTGCACCTCTATTGTAAAATGTAATAAAATGGTGCAAATACAGAAGTGCCACGTTTAAAAATAACAGTTCTTTCAACAATCATTAAGGATCACGTCTTTATCATGAATTGTGTCACCACTTGATTGCTTCGTGAGAATGAGCCACACACATCAGCATGAGAGTATGTGTGTGTTCATGCTGGATTATATTATTACATTACCAGGCTTTGTATTTTTAGTTCCTCTGAAGAAATAGAGGGGTATGAGGCTAGAATGGGTGATCTGTTTAATATTTTAAGCAAAACACTTCAGAGACATGTCTTGTATAGATATGGCTCTATAATATATTGTTCACATATAGCATAATAGTTGACCTTTCAGGAAGTATCTGATTTGAGAGACCATCTCCATGCTGCCGTCTGCACACATGATCTGTGTCTCCCTCCAGTTAGAGACGTTCTTGAGTAAAGAACTGTTTAATCCACACCACAACAACCCGTGAGAGCTGGGGTTAGAAGGATTACAAATAACAATAAACAATAAATGAAATGCATGTTTTTCAATTACCTATTCATGCTCTAAAAGCTGTTCAATAGAGAGAGCTGACACATGTATACCATTAGCACGCTAACACACGAACACACACACCCTTCACAGCTTAACCATATAAACCATATAAATTAAGAGAAATTATATAAATATACCGCGTACACCTACAGAGACGCGCTAAATCCTGTCTTGAGAGCTTTTACTTTACACATTTCTCCGGCATCTCAAATATCTATGTCACGTGAAACGCTCACTGCAGATTAGTTACACCTCTATTGTTAAATTGAATACAGTAGTGCCACGTTGATAACAGTTCATTCAACAATCATTAAAGATCACGTCTTTATTATGATTTATGTAAGCCACACACCTCAGCATGTGAGCATGTGTGTGTTCATGCTGGATTATATTATTACATTACCAGGCATTGTATGTTTAGTTCCTGTGAAGACAATGCAAACATTAAATTGCTGAACACTCGAGAGAAGATATTTTCTACGGGTAGGAACAAACGTCAGCGTAGCTGTGAGACATAAACTGCAAGTGTAAGGCAGGTTCACGATCTGATGTTGACTAACAGTTAAAGTTTACATTTGATTCTGTTCCAGCTGCTGGAGGAGAACATCGTTACTTTTGTGAAGAGTGAGCTGAAGAAGATCCAGATAGTCCTGACTTCAGATTACCCAGAATGCTTAGAGAGTCAGAGGGAGGATGAGGAGGTGTTGGACGGTGAGGATGAAGAGCAGAGGAGCAGCAGAGAGGCCTTTCTGAACATCTCACTGCACTTCCTGAGGAGCATGAAGCAGGAGGAGCTGGCTGACCGTCTGCAGAGCAGTAAGAGGATTTAACACATTGAACATGATGGAGAGGAGGTGGAGGGAAGATGGGAGGAGTTTCACTTTATAAAACTTTGTCTTGTTAATCAGTGCATACGCTTATTGGTTAGTACTGGTACTAACAAATTAGTTAAGGAAGCAACAAAACATTGCACTGTAAATATTTTTGTTCATGGTACATTACTAATAAACGGAGCTGAACAGTTAACTATGATGATATGAAACTAGTGAACGTTAATGTTCACCATTAATCGGGAAACCTTATTATATTTTGTTGAAGCTGACTGACATCTTACTTACTTTTTAATCACATTTCTTGTTTGTCCTCTCAGTAACTGCTGCTGCAGTCTGCCGACGTAAACTCAAATCCACCCTGAAGGAGAGGTTCCAGTGTGTGTTTGAGGGCATCGCTAAAGCAGGAAACCAAACCCTTCTGAACCAGATCTACACAGAGCTGTACATCACAGAGGGGGGGTCTGCAGAGGTCAATGCTGAACATGAGGTCAGACAGATTGAGACAGCATCCAGGAAACCACACAGACCAGAAACAACCATCAGACAAGAAGACCTCTTTAAAGCCTCACCTGGAAGAGATGCACCAATCAGAGCAGTGCTGACAAAGGGCGTGGCTGGCATTGGGAAAACAGTCTTAACACAGAAGTTCACTCTGGACTGGGCTGAAGGCAAAGCCAACCAGGACATCCAGTTCATATTTCCATTCACCTTCAGAGAGCTGAACGTGGTGAGAGAGAACAAGTACAGCTTGGTGGAACTTGTTCATCACTTCTTCTCTGAAACCAGAGACGCAGGAATCTGCAGGTTTGATCAGTTCCCGGTCGTGTTCATCTTTGACGGTCTGGATGAGTGTCGACTTCCTCTGGACTTCCTCAACACTGAGATCCTGACTGATGTCACAGAGTCCACCTCAGTGGATGTGCTGCTGACAAACCTCATCAGGGGGAAGCTGCTTCCCTCTGCTCGCCTCTGGATAACCACACGACCTGCAGCAGCCAATCAGATCCCTCCTGAGTGTGTGGACATGGTGACAGAGGTCCGAGGGTTCACTGACCCACAGAAGGAGGAGTACTTCAGGAAGAGATTCAGAGATCAGGAGCAGGCCGGCACCATCATCTCCCACATCAAGACCTCACGAAGCCTCCACATCATGTGCCACATCCCAGTCTTCTGCTGGATCTCTGCTTCAGTTCTGGAGGAGGTGTTGAAAACCAGAGGGGGAGGAGAGCTGCCCAAGACCCTGACTGAGATGTACAGCCACTTCCTGGTGGTTCAGTCCAAAGTGAAGAACATCAAGTATGATGGAGGAGCAGAGACAGATCCACACTGGAGTCCAGAGAGCAGGAAGATGATGGGGTCTCTGGGGAAACTGGCTTTTGAGCAGCTGCAGAAAGGCAACCTGATCTTCTATGAGTCCGACCTGACAGAGTGTGGCATCGATATCACAGCAGCCTCAGTGTACTCAGGAGTGTTCACACAGGTCTTTAGAGAGGAGAGAGGACTGTACCAGGACAAGGTGTTCTGCTTCGTCCATCTGAGCGTTCAGGAGTTTCTGGCTGCTCTTCATGTCCATCTGATCTTCATCAACTCTGGAGTCAACCTGCTGGCAGAAGAACCAACAACCTCCCAGAAGTCTGAAGATGAATCTGAACTAACAAATCTCTACCAGAGTGCTGTGGAAAAGGCCTTAAAGAGTCCAAACGGACACCTGGACTTGTTCCTCCGCTTCCTCCTGGGTCTTTCACTGCAGACCAATCAGAAACTCCTACGAGGCCTGCTGACAACAGGAAGTGTCTCAGAGATAAAAAAGGAAACAGTCCAGTACATCAAGAAGAAGATAGAAGAGGATCTGTCTCCAGAGAGAAGCATCAACCTGTTCCACTGTCTGAATGAACTGAATGATCGTTCTCTAGTGGAGCAGATCCAACAGTCCCTGAGTTCAGGAAGTCTCTCCACAGATAAACTCTCTCCTGCTCAGTGGTCAGCTCTGGTCTTCATCTTACTGTCATCAGAAGAAGATCTGGACGTGTTTGACCTGAAGAAATACTCTGCTTCAGAGGAGGCTCTTCTGAGGCTGCTGCCAGTGGTCAAAGCCTCCAGGAAAGCTGTGTAGGTGGAAGGATGAATGGAATACAAACATCATCAAATGTGTTTATGTGTCATGGATGAGAAATAACAATATATTTATTTAAAATAATCCTTCAGGCTGAGTGGCTGTAAGCTGTCAGAGAGAAGCTGTGAAGCTCTGTCCTCAGTCCTCAGCTCCCAGTCCTCTAGTCTGAGAGATCTGGACCTGAGTAACAACGACCTCCAGGATTCAGGAGTGGAGAACCTGTGTGCTGGACTGGAGAGTCCACTCTGTGAACTGGAAACTCTCAGGTCAGGATTTAACTATTTATTTTGTAAGTCTGTTAATAAAGCTTTCATTGGTGTAATATATTTCATTATTCCTCTTTAGAATGATAGGACTTAATTTACATGGAGTTGCCTCACACAGGGCACCAGTACGACAGGGTTCTGTTGTGCGCAACACTGTAGACTTTGAGGTTAGATGAACAGATTATTATTATTATTTTAAGTACAGACCCTATGGGACTTAAGGGTCTTTTCATTAGATTAATTCATTTTCATTCTTAAAATTGGTTTAATTAAACGAACAGTTATAGGTAACCATTAGTCAAGTCAACATTGTGAATCTCAGCTAAAAGGAAATTATCATGCTTTTTAAATCATGCTCATTAGTATTAAAGTAAAATACATGCTTTCATTTTATAAGATTGTTCTCTAGTTCCTCTGAAAGCACACTAAAATAAGATGTGTTGGACTGGGTACCTAAGATCGTAGTTTTAGTTAGGTAATCAATAGGGTGACATTAAAGTAAGTGTGTGTGTGTGTGTGTGTGTGTGTGTGTGTGTGTGTGTGTGTGTGTGTGTGTGTGTGTGTGTGTGTGTGTGTGTGTGTGTGTGTGTGTGTGTGTGTGTGTGTGTGGTGTGTGTGTGTGTGTGTGTGTGTGTGTGTGTGTGTGTGTGTGTGTGTGTGTTTGTGTGTGTTCAGTCTGTCAGGATGTATGGTCACAGAGGCAGGCTGTGGAGCTCTCTCCTCAGCCTTGACAATCAACCCCTCCCATCTAAGAGAGCTGGACCTGAGCTACAATCATCCAGGAGGTTTTGGGGTGAATGCTCTGGTTGTTCAACAGGAGGATCCACACTGGAGACTGGACACTCTCAGGTATGGACAGACCACACAAAGCCTCTAGTACAGGGGTCTCCAACCTTTCTTCATCTGAGAGCTACTTTGAAAAAATGAAAGTGGCTGCATCACATCGCTTACATTTACTCACATTGCACTCATCAGTTGAATTAAGCTACTGTTGTACACGTGTGAAATTGTAATACACAAAGCTAATCAAAAATGTTAACTTCACATCAAGTTCCAAGAAAACGACAATTCCTCACATATTATTATATGGCGAATGACGTCCCGTAATGCTCCACCACAGTGTTATTATTAACTTTGAAATACAGGACTTTACAGATGTAGCCATCCATTTGCCCCTTTACGTACCTAATTCCAACCAGAAACCTAATGGATCCCAGTGGCTGGTGATTTACACCCCCTCCCCCTGTTTCCTGAGAGGGCGTGGCTAGACTCCACGGTAGACCCGCCTATTGGTTAGATTGCCGGGTTTTACCATGAGGTGGCGCTTCCTTCACAAACACACATAAACAGCTAACTGGGTAACCTTTGGTCTTTGTTTAGGCCTCGGTTCACACAGTGTGTTTCCTGGACTAACAGTAGTAGTTGTGACTTCAGTAATGTTTGCAGCTCTGCCATTGTGTTTGCTGAACAGCATTTAATCACATATTTTCCATCCCTTATTTTCACACGGAAATCTAACACATTACTTTTACAATTTAGTTTTATTTATAATATTACACACATGCCAGCTATATAATTGTTTTATTTTTCTTGATGTGTGAAATTAACATCATTTGGACTGTGTTTCTTTCTCTAGGGTGGACCATTATGGAGATCAGATGTTAGAACCTGGTCTGAGGAAGTGTAAGTCTGGATTTAGTTGACTAATGAACAGTCAGTTGTGTTTTTATTCATGAAAGATAACTGACAAACTGAGACTATGTCATCATATTTATAGATATGAGAAACAGTTATCGTTTAACCAAATGCAATGGAAACATATTGTTACGCTCCCATAAAAGCTACTGGAGTGAACCCGCAATACTGAACACTGGGCACGGAGACTGAAGTTTAGTTTGAAAAAAATGTTTATTTTCAAACAGGCTTGGTCAGTGGGGGTTGAGCTGAAGCAGGGGACAGAGCAGGAGTGAAATAATCCAAAAACAGGGGAAAAGAGACCGTGTGCTGGGGTGGAGGACAGAATCCTGAGCCAGGGGAGCGAGGGAACACGGAGGAACACAGCAGGAGGGATGGTGGCTGGGCGCAGCAGGCAGAGGAGCAGGTAGTTGGTCACTGGACAGGGAGAGCACAAAGTTAGAATTGCAACAAACACTTTAGAGAACAAGGTTTAGCTAGAAGCTAAGTTAGCCGAGACGTTTTACCACTGGTGATTAGACGACGAACTGGCGAATACTGGATGAGGGAACCGGGTTTATATGCAGGTGTAGGAGAGCAGTTACAATCAGGGTGACGAGCAGCACCTGAGGAGGTGTGGAGGCGGGAATCGAAAGTAGGTCAGCCACACGCCCAGCCAGGAAGACAAAAAACAGAGGGAGGCAGGACTGTGGATCCTCACACTTAAATGCTGCAGACATAACCTGCTCTGGACCAATTTACTGTATGTTCAGAGTTTAGGTTTGAAACCGGCAAATACCACCGCTCACTAACTAGTTCCTTTGAACGTAGTATTACTTTATATTAAATCAATGAGCAGTAGAGTGTCTGCTGAGGGAATACTTTATACAGATAAACTGGAGCAGTAACGGTTAGTACTTAGTAGCACATACTGTATGCATCTCATTACTTATTTTCTCCAATATTTTCTTGCCTTATGCCTTTGTAGTAGTTTTTTTGTATTCTTTTAAATGCAGAGATAGGTGGCGATCAATCCTTTGGGGCTAGATGATAGCCCCTTTTCTTTGAGTGCACACAGAGCCTGAAGAGGAAAGCCAGAGTTCACAGAGACAGTTGATAACCAGCTTCGTGCACTATTTAGTGTAGTTGATGATAAACTGGTGCTGTGTCTTTGTCCCCTCTATCAGATGCCTGTGAACTCACACTGGACACCAACACAGCACACAGATACCTCAAACTGTCTGACAGTAACAGGAAGGTGACACATGTGGAGGAAGAGGAGCCATATCATTATCATCCAGAGAGGTTTGACTACTATCCTCAGCTGATGTGTAGAGAATCTCTGACTGGTCGCTGTTACTGGGAGGTCGAGTGGAGAGGAGGGGTTTATATATCAGTGACTTACAGAGGAATCAGCAGGAGAGGAGACAGTGAGGACTCTCAGTTTGGAGGGAATGATCAGTCCTGGAGTCTGGTCTGCTCTGATGAAGGTTACTCTGTCATGCACATTAACAAAGAAACAGGCCTGTCTCTCTCATCCTCCTCCTCCTCCTCCTCCTCCTCCTCCTCCTTTTCCTTATTTTCCTTATTTTCCTCCTTCTTCTTCTCCTCCTCCTTCTTCTTCTCCTCCTCCCCCTCCTCTGCCTACTCCCCCTCCTCTCCCTCCTACCCCTCCTCCTCCTCCTCCTCCTCCTCCTCCTCCTCCTCCTCCTCCTCCTCTGGTAGAGTAGCAGTGTATCTGGATCATCCTGCTGGCTCTCTCTCCTTCTACAGAGTCTCCTCTGACACACTGACCCACCTCCGCACCTTCAGAACCACATTCACTGAACCTCTGTATGCTGGGTTTGGGTTCTGGTCATTAAACTCCTCAGTGTCTCTGTGTCCTCTGTAGGAGGAGACCACTTCCTGTCCTGTTGTAATGTCCCTGGTCTCGGGGGACATTACATGAGTGAAGCAAGAGGTATCTTCCAGTCGTGTGGTTAACATGTTGGTCGTGACGCGGCTACACTTTGGTTGTGCCTTTACAGGAGAAGCAGCATTTAGTTATAATGCTCCGTATATCTGCAGAATCTCCCAGTAATCAAGTGTCTCACTCTTTTTAATAAATGTTTTTTCTATGTATTAAAATGTGTTTTTTAAATGTTTCTTTTGCTCTTTGTCGTAAGTATTGTGATGTTTTTGTAAAGCCCTTTGCATTGCCTTGTTGATGTGCTGTATAGATACACTTTCTCTTTCTGGCAGAAATGTTTCTTTCCTTTGTAAAATGGAGAAATCATGTTCTCTGGGCTGAACTCTGTGTGTACAAACTGCTGGGACATATATGCAGTGTAATAAAGCTTTCTTTAGAGCAGCATCTAATAGCTCCTAATACTCTTACTCACTTTTTATTGAGTTCAATAAAGGTTTGAAGACAAAACAATCTGTCTATGATCTCATTTTTTTTGCATCCAACATGTTTTCTAAAGTATATAGTTGTAAATTGATACAAAGATCTTCCCTAACGTAGAAACTGTAAGAACTTGATTGCTCACTGAGATACAGGAAGTTAGAGTAAATGAACTGCATGGTAAATGGATATATAAAGATATTTTCCAGTCTTTGCCAACCAGCTTGAAAGTGTCTCTCAACATCATCTCTCAGCAAGATGCATTTGCTTGTAGACCTGAGTGTGTTCTCCTGTCGTCTCTCAGTGGCTGACTGCACACCACATGAAGCTCATCCTAAACAAGCCTTAACTGCACAGAATGGCTCATTGTGGCTGCATGGTCCCTGGCCTACACCAGTGGTGAACCGTCAGGGCATTCAAGGTATTCAGAAAATATCCTGAAACACTAAAAACAAACAAAAAATAGATTTAATTATCTAAATCAACATTTTATAAAATGTCAATAAAATGAATAAATGAGAATGGTATCTGTGTTGTTGATCTGTAATATTACAGTGTTGCGTCGATTTGTTTGTCCTTCTATGCATTTCAGTGGTTTTGTGTTAGAAAATAAATGCAACCAATCAGATGTTGTTCTGGGTCTCTGGGTAGAATATCCTTCAACCAAGGTATTCTACATCCTTGATCGAATGCCCTGGCCCTCACACTGAATGAGAGCCTTTGGATTGACAGTTTGATCAACCAATCATATATTGATTTTTAGCCAATGGGCATATTCTTTCAGAGTTTCCCTCGGTTCCAGGTGCTCTAGAAGGCCCGCTAGTTCACTGGAGAGAGACAGAGGATCTAGAGAAATGCCACGTAGCAATTCATTTGAAGTTTTATTGTTTTTAACGTTGAAATGGCAACAGGTGAAGATAATATTGTTGCGGGATTGTTGTCAGCTCCCTTTACAAGACGACCATTCAGTGAAAAGACGGACATTACAACGGCGAGGGGTGTGTGTGTCTACAAAAGGTCCAGTTGTGATAGACTTGTTCAATCAGAGCCTACCTCTGACCTATCAACTTCTGACAGTGGCGAACCGTGTCTATCACAACTGGACCTTTTGTAGACACACACACCCCTCGGAACAGCCACTCAGAGCCAGAAGTCCTATGACAGTGATTAGAGAGGTGAGAATAGCTCAAATCACCGCTTCCCATTTACCAAGCCATCAACCAGCCTTTAAGTGAAGGTCTAGTGTTCAGCTAACTCTGAGTGACCGAAGCTCAGCTGAAGCTTTAGTGACAGATCCATCTAACAGTGTTGTTAGGGATAAATGTTCAGCATCACGAACAGATCACAAACACCTCCTTCCTCAGCCAGGAGCATCTCTGGAGCCATTCTGTTCTGTGGGAGCTAGCATCGAACTGTTCAGCTGATCCTTTGATAGCATCATGAAACGTTGCTGATTATAATAAATATAATTCATCATCTCAACATTTGTATTAATAGTTACCCAAAGGAAGAGTGGTTAGAGTCCCGCCAATATCTGATGTCTAGCTCCAAACTCCTCTGGCACTCCCCGAGGAACGCCTATGCATGCATGCAACCTCTGTCGTCGAAAGAGGCCAACGGTGCATCCCTTTTCTCTCGGGAGGGTTTGAGATTCAGATCTTTAATTTGACCTATCGTCACAGGCATAGTTAACATCACTGCGGTACATGTACCCAACCAACTACTTTAGAGTATCAACACAAACAGAGCCACGTGAAAACCTGTGTAACCAGTGTCAGAAACCCAGTCAGTGTTCGTGGTGATGTAGTTCCAATAGCTGCCCACTAGATGGCTCTAAATGACTTTGAATTGTGATCTCTTATTTCAGACAAGTGGAAAGAAAACCTTTTAAGTCGACATTTACTTTTTATTTATACTTTTCTATCTTCGTGTTTGTAGATTTTTCCTAAAGTCACCAAAAGTTAGAATATCATAAAGCCTCATTTGCATATTCAAACATAACATTAAATAATTGTCTTGTCTTGGTTTGACTTCAGGTGATCCAGGTCGTCAGCTAGTGTTGACAGAACAGCAGAATGTGCAGCACTTAGACTGTAATCTTCATTTCCTGTCATCTGTGAAACATGAAGGAAGTGTCAGAACAGGTCTTAAAAACTGATCAATGTGACTGAGGGACTATTATTAACACCTAATATAACATGCAGACATTGAGTGTTCACGGTTCAAATACATCTGTTACCCAAATGGCATTCCTCAATTACTCTGAAAACAAAGGAGTGTCCTTACGTAGAAAATTGAATACAGAACAAAATGCTCAACATTTTAATTATCAAGTCTCTCCTTTTAACTTCTGTCATAATTTAAGGATTTAAAAACACAGACGTTAATGTATCTCTGCCACCATAAATCCCCTAAAAACATTTTTGGAATATGTGGGTGAAATACAAAAAAGTGCGGTATTGTAACAGAATAAAATGTAATAGTTGATACAGGTTTTTTTAAAGTTTGTGATTAAACATCTGGGGATAAAAATAACCAGGCAGTTACCGAACCTATGCCAGTAGTATGGTTGCCTAAACATAACACATGTATGGATATTTCACATGAAAAGCTTTTAAAGCTATCATACACAGTTTTCACACGGGCAAAGGAATACATTTAACATTAAATAAAATGTGTTTGCAAGCCAACGCGTGTTTGAAGAAGTGGAAAAAGAACATCACCCTAGCAGCCTGAGCTTCTTCAGACTCCAGGTTTGTGGCTACGCTGGTTTCATGTCCCTCCGATGTGTTTGTACCTGCCGATCTGAAAGGTGTTGTGTCAGTCAGCACCATCTAGTGGAGAGCTATAGAACTACATCCCCTCCATCACCTCTCACCTTGACTGGCTCTTCTTCCCGTTGGACCTGTTCTCACGTCACTCTGATGTGTTTTTATACTCTGAAGTTATGAGGGAGTGACGGCGTCCTCAGATCAGATGCAGGCAGACACAGGACTGAAGAGGAAGAGATGAGCAGAGTCTCCTCCACACAGGCAGGCGTCTAAATTAACCTGAAGGGAATTCAGAAGGTGAGAACATGATTTAGACACTTTTCAGTTTGTAAGCTTGTTGGGTATATTATTATACATGTGGGGATAAAAACAACCACTAAGTTACTTGACCTAATTAAACTTAATCTGTAGATGTTTGATCATCAGGATCACTCTGATCACATCGTGCTGTATCACTGTTTAACTGATCAGAACAAATGTGTCTTGGTGCTGATTCTATAAATCTATTCCTAAGTATCGTTGAATTTGCCTCAGAATTAAAGAGGAATGATTTTAGAAAGACTTCCTTGTAATGGCGACAGCAGTTCTTGGCAGCAGATTGATTGTAACCTGAGTTCATATCTACAGTGGAAAAGCAGGGAGTGTCTGATGCTGTCTAAACCTCAGATCAACATGACTGACATGTTTGTTTTGTTTTAACATTGAAACATAGCAGACGTGATGTGTGTAAAGGGCCTTCATGTCTGTAATGATACTGCAGTCAGAGACGCTCCAGTGGAGTCTCATGTTTGCTGGACTTTGTATTTGAAGCTGTTTGATGGAGCGTTGACTTTGCTGATGGGATGTTTGTGACAGCATGAGATGTGTACATGTAGGGGTCCGTCGTTCTGTTCTATTATCAGTGTCTGAACTGCAACGTGACTTCAAATGACGGCAGCACTGATCCAGGTTTTGTGTACCTGTCCAAGTCAGAAATAACAGACCAATCAGAATCCAGTACTTAGCCGTGCAGCAAAGACAGTGTTTCCCTCTCATGCAGGCGCATCATGTAGAACATACCTGTTTGTTTCTGGAGTCACAGTCGGCTGAGTCCAAAGCAGATTCTTGATGTTGGTTTCCTTTGAAATTGAGTCCCATCGACATCAGTCCCGATCTGTGTTGCCATTTGATGCTCTTTGAGAATTTAACTGATCATTTCAACAATATTTACATTTATTAACAACGTGCACCTTGGCCAAAACATAAATAAACTCCTCATTCTGTATTTAGTACGTCCCCCCCCCCCCCCCCCCTTACTTTGGTGTTCGCAGTCAAATTTGACCGGTCCTGTTTTAACTGCTATTACATGAACACAAAAACCATTAATCATCACCACATGTCATTGAACACCCTTTCAAACTGTACATATTGTATCAGACTACTGGATTTAGTACTTTAAAAAAGTGGGATGTTTGAAGTCGATGTACCTGCAGGACGCTAGCTGTTCTCAGTTTGTATCTTTATAGCTTGTTTGAATTTAATGTACATTTTTTAGTCACTTTAGATAAAAGCGTTGCTAAATGTAATATAATGTAATATAATGTGATATAATGTAATATAATGTGATATAATGTAATATAATGTAATATAATGTAATATAATGTGTCCGATCAGGCACACATGCACGTGATCCACGCTGCTTCATCATGTGTTAGTGCTGAGCTTTATTTCACTAGAGGGTCCGTTAGCACCCCCTAGTGGACAGCTGCTAGAACTACACAAAGTAACCTAACCTCACAAAGTATTTGTGTTTCCTAAAACTCAGTTCATCAGGTGAGAATCCTCCCAGAGGAATCTGTAGAAGTTTGATCATCAGGATCACTTGTTCTGCATCACAGTATAACTGGACAGGACTAATGTTTCCTGATGCTGATGCTATAAATCTATTCTACAGTATTGTGGAGAATGTCCCTCGGAGTTAAAGAAGAATGGTTTTAGAAAGACTTCCTTGTAATGGTGCCAGCAGCTTTTGGCAGCAGTTTGATTGTAATCTGAGATATCATCAGCAGTGAAAAATGCAGGCAGTGTCTGATCCGGTCCAACAGCTCTGATCAACGTGACTGACATGTTTAAAAAAATAAGTTTAACATAGAAGAGTAAACATAGCAGATATGATTCAAACAGTGGCGGCAGGTGGAATTGTTGTATAGGTAGGGCTCTGCCACATGCAATCGATTTCAGCAAACATCCCAGTTTGACTTCATGCAAAAAGTTTTTCAGTCTTAAATTGTAATGCCTCCATAAACAATTTAAGCATTTGAGACTGAGGACTACAACAATGTAAAACAATGGCATAAGCAATACTCGCATACATATATGTATATATATATATATGAAGTATATAATATATATATATGTATGTGTATATATATATATATATTACAGAACAACGGTATAATCAACAGTAATACAAAAAGCTGAAGATGTTACAAACGAGTAATAATCATTCTTATTCTTCAAATCAATGTAGTGCACGTCTTTGACGTGCCTTTATAAACGGTGGCAGTCTTCAGGGGCTCCTCCAGCACAATGTCCAGGAAACTAAATCCACCAATCCCCTGAAAATGCCAGGGTTGACTGAAGAGTCTCGTCATGCCCACGCAAAGCCAACTCAAAAGCCCCTCAAAACTTCATTATTTAGGATGAAATATGCCTGTTTTTATCCACCTCCTCATTGTGTCTCCTCACCGCAGGCCTGAGGGCGTCGTCCAGCTGCGTAGCAGTTGCTGACCTGGGGCGATACACTAACCGCCCCTCCGGTAGTAGTATTGAGGACGCTGATTGGCTACATTTTATGACACACGTTCATATCATGAAACAGCGATTGGCTAACCTGCTCCAGAGACCTTCCTCCGTGGGGCGATTTCTCCATCGCCCCAGCAAAGTACTTCAGTCATACAGTGTATTGGAAAAGCATATATTTTAAGTAAATTATTTAAAAATCATGTTTTACACACATTTCTGGGTGCATTCCATATTTTAAACACACAAACATTGACAATTTATATAATTAATTATTATTATTATTATTATTATTATTATTATTATTATTATTATTATTATTCAATCAATCAATCAATGTTTATTTATAGAGCCCAATATCACAAATGGTACATTTGTCTCAGTGGACTTCACAGTTTGTACAGAATATCAGTATGACAATACGACACCCTCTGTCCTTAGACCCTCTGTCCTTAGACCCTCTGTCCTTAGACCCTCACATCGTACAAGGAAAAACTTCCAAAGGACTGTCCAGTCTGGCTCTCCCTTTCCTCGGATCATTTTGAATGAGGGACAGATCGCTCCTCTCTGTGCAAAAATAGTCATTATATACAGTCTTTAATGAACTATTAGTAGAGATTAACGAGTAATTAATATACTTTATAGGGATCCTATTAATATCTAATAATAAAATAATGAAATTCAATAACATGCTTTAACCACTAGGTGTCCCTTTATATCAGCTGTGCACCTTTATGGTGTAAATACAGCCTATCTACCAATTGGATCAAATATAAAAGTCAGCCGAATTAGTGTTGATACTGCAAGGAGACGTATTGTGTGAAAAGAAATGTAAGATGTTGTTTAATTGTTGATATATTTATGATCCACGTCACGTTTTCAGTTGTGGCGGCAGTTCTTCCTCTTTATCCAGAAGTCTTCTCATCAGGGCTCTATGAATAGAGAACTACGGCAGATATGTAATATTTAATGCAGCCGAACCGTGTATTACAATGCCGTTATGTGATGACTTCCAAAGAGAAAAGCAAGCACACTCGGAATAAAGTATTATTTTAAAACATTTTTTTCGGATTTCACATTGCATAAACACCATTTCCCAACATGCATTGCGGCTAAACCATCCAATCACCGAGCTGAGGATCTTGTCTTCGTCTGTTTCCGGTATTTGTTAATGACGATGTGATGTGAGATGTGAGACTGGAATTGCACAGGGAAAATAACGTTTCTATGCCACCATTTTAGATGCAGATTTTGTTAAACTAATATATTTGCGCTGTGGACCAACACTATACATTGACGGGGAAGCGGGTAGCAATAAAGATAACACCATTAAACAGTTACACAACATAACATACTGTAAATGATATCGATAGCAGCGTCCCTAGCAACCACCTTGGTGACAATGAAAACGTATCGACACAATTTCCTGAAGTAATCTTCGTAATAACTAGCAAACTAAAGATCATGTACATCCACTGCACACATAATCTGAAATAACAACTCATATTTCTCGCATCAAATGACATCAAAACGCATTTGAATGGCCAAACTAACCTTAAAATAGGCATTTTCCACTGAGAATAAAACGAAGTTCGGCCATGTTTTTATTTTCTGCAGGGAGAAATGTGAAGATCACGTGACATAGACGCAGCCATTGGAATGAATGGTGAAAAAAACGTAGGGATCTTACAATTTCAGAGGCGTTTTTGTAGAAATACTACGTCCTACGTTGTGGACCAACGTAGTTATTACACGTTTAGATGTGAGACTGGGTTGGACTTTCTCAGGACTCAAAACTGTTTTGACAGACCCCCACAAAGTAAAACATATATTTACACACGTAAGGTCATCATCTTAAAGGTGGGGTAGGTACGTTTGAGAAACCGGCTCGAGATACACTTTTTTTTATATTCCATGGAATCCTCTTAACATCCCGATAGCATTGAATATCTTAAGTCTTATCTTGCCACCCCATGAATATTTTTCTAGATCCGCCCCAGAACGTACTTGATCACTTGCTGTTCTCACTGCAATGTACGACACGACTATTAGGCCAAGACGCTGCAGGCGGCTCTGTTGTTGTTTCTGACGTTGGTTTCCAGGGGAATTCCACGGTGATCAGTCCTGTTGTTTATTATCATTTGATGTCTCGTGCTTTTGACAGTTTGACTGATAATGTTTCAGCGTGAATATCAGAACATGTAGGTCACACATCGTTGTAGAACAATGCGTTTGATCAAAAATGTTCACTAAAACTTCATCCAAAAATAATTTGTCTATAAATAAATACTTGACTTGCAACGTCCAACTTGGCCAATAAAAATTGTTTTTAAAAATTGCATTTTAGTTTTTATCACTCAAAATGGTTTATCTTATTTGAAGCTAAGTACTTGTAAGGCCTAAAAAAAAATGTTCTAGCCTTTTGCTAGAACTTGAACCATCCTCTTGTTGCCCTGTCTACTTAATGTTTAAAATGTTTTTATTCAGATGTTTACTCTGTAGCACTTTGAGTTGTGTTTATTAAAATGAAAAGTGCGATTATAAATAACATTGATTGGTGTTATTGGTGTAGGATCCATAGTTACGATTGTCTTGACTTTAACCTGGAAAACAACATGATAAAAGAACAGATCTGTGTCTTCAGGCGTCCGCAGAGAGGAAGGAGATCAGTCAATACTGTGAGTCTGTGGGAACCTCTTCATCACAGCTACACTAGGATACTAATGAGATCAGTCAACTGTCAGAGTGAACATTTGTAAATTAGTGCTGAGCTTTATTTCATTGGATGATCAGTTACCACCATCTAGTGGACAGCTAGTAGAACTACACCCTCTCTCAAATTGACTGGTTTATTGTGCTTATTGGACAGGTTTCTTGTGACTCATGTGTTTTGATGCTCTGAAGTTATGAGGGAGTGACGGCGTCCTCAGATCAGATGCAGGCAGACACAGGAGGACTGATGAGGAAGAGATGAGCAGAGATACATGAAGCATGAAGGTGTTTCAATTGACCTGAAGGACATTCAGAAGGTGAGAATATGATTTAAATGCTTTTTGGAAATCTGGGATTATACATTTGTGGATGAATATAATCAAGACGTCACCCTGCCTTACCATGGAGCTTTGTTTCCTGAAACTCAGTTCATCAGGAGAGAATCCTACCAGAGGAATCTGTAGAGGTTGGATCATCAGGACTCTGATCACATCGTGCTGTATCACCGTTTAACTGAACAGAACTAATGTGTCTTCATGCTAAATATCTCTTCTAAAGTATTGTGGAGAATGTTTTTACAGAAAGACTTCCTTGTAAAGGTGACAGTTTCTGGCAGCAGTTTGATTGTAATCTGAGTAAGCATCCTTAGTGCTGGGAGGAAGTGTAAGAACCGGACTGACGGCTCGGATCAACGAGACTGAGGTGTTTTCATTTCTTTATCTCTGAAGCGTACACACACCAGGCAGGTTATAAAGCATCCTTTGAGGTCTCTCCACAGTCACTGTGTGTAGAAGACCTTCATGTCTTCAATGATACTGCAGTCAGAGACGCTCCAGTGGAGTCTCATGTCAGCTGGACTTTGGATCTGAAATCCTCTCCTATCCAAGTCAGTTCATTGTGAGTGTTCTTCAACACATTGTGACAATCTATAACAAATATGTTCAACATACTGTTTGTCTGGGTGAAGGTGGGGGCTGTGCAGCACGTGTTGGGGTCCCTGCATCCTGTCCAGGACTCCAGAATACCCTGCATCCTGTCTAGGACTCCAGAATACCAGGGTTTTCAACTGCAGCTGGTTGCATTTTGTAGTTTGTAAACCAGCCAACCCGGTATCACGGCAAGACGTGAACATGTGACGACTTACCATGCTGGGAGACGTGAAGATGTCGATGGGAGACGATTTCGTCCCTTCAAACGTGACGGTTACACGGTATTGTTAACCCATGTTAACCAGTGGAGAAATACCCGGAAATGCCAAGCAAATGCTGCCCCGACGGTCGGTTGTTATTGTCAATATTAATATAATAATGATTTATTTTTTAATAGTCACACTCGATTACACCGATGTTCTTGTTGCCCCAGCTGGTCGACACCTCTTTGAGCAGAAACAAAGGCTACATTAATGTAATAAATCAATGTTAATCCATGCGTGTGGATGTGGAATTAACGGACGTGACGTTGTGCGATTGCGTTGCCAGGCAACAGCTTCGGTTCATGTTCATTTACAAACTCTTCAACTACAACCGTAGGTTTATTTAAAAACATGTTAGAAGGCCTCACGAAATACTTTAAAGGTCACATGTCCTGCTTTTCCGGTTATTACCCGTCCCCTTGTGTTATGAAGGTTTGTATGCATGTAAACGGTGTGCAGAGTCAAACCCCTCAAAGTACACCATGTAGCGAGTAAAACTCTAACACAGAAAAGAGCAAGAGCTGCAACGAGCCGTTTAGTGGAGAGAGTGAATACTACTGAATGCACATACGTTACAGAGATGCGAAACCAATGTGAGTTTGGAACATTGAACAATGTAAATCTATTCTAGTAGACCTCAACAATGGAATTATGATCAGTAGAAATGGCCATGACATGTGACCTTTAACGCAAATTTAAATTTAAATGTGAAGGACTGTGCCGTTTGAACACTGCATGCTTTTCTGGCTATTCTGACCCACAATCCTTTGCAGTGGATAAACAAGTGCGTAGTATGTCCTAATGTAATGCCTATTGCATAACCCTAACCCTAACCCTAACCTCCACAGCAGATATGCCGCTCGTCCGTTGACTTCTCTCAGTCTTGATATTGCTGATGAACACACTTCATTGTAAATCTCCATAGATAAATACTTTGTGTTTGATTTAGTATGAGCTCACTCAGACTCCCTTCTTGTTCATTCCCAGATCCAGTGTGTGGCAGAGAGGAAGGAGCAGTAACGAGCATGTTGTTGTGTTTGTGTTTAGGTTCGACACCACAACAGATCCTCCAGGAATCTCCAGAGGACGTTTGAGCCTGCCAACCTGCAAGATGGAAACCACTGATCCAAAGTTATTATTCATCTTATCAGGATTCACATGTTCAAAAGTCAGCATCATGTTCAGCAGAGTGTCAGTGCACCTTTGCATTCATCATGTTTTTGATTCTATCAGGATCCACCCTGAGAGACCAGACCCTCCTGGACCTGGACCTGGACCTGGACCTGGACCTGGACCCAGCTGTGTGTCCATGAAGAGTGACAACTCTATGCCTCGACCTATTGGGTTTAAAGCTAGAGAGCATGATGATAGTCCAGAGTAAGAATTTTAAGCAAAAAGTATTTTTTCTTTTCCTTTATTAAAACGCTTGAAATTCAACATAATTATCTACAAAGTTGATTCTGAACATTCATCAGTGATTGTGTTTCTATCAGGATCCCCCATGAGAGACCAGACTCTCCTGGACCCAGCTGTGTGTCCATGAAGAGTGGAAACTCTATGCCTCGACCTATAATGTTTAAAGATGGAGAGCATAGCGATGGACCAAGGTATGAATTCAAGTTATTTTGTTGTTCGCTTTTAAAACCTTTGAATTTCTACCTCAGTCTCAGCTGCATTTTATTTGCTGCACGTCGTAAAGGAGTTCTTGAAGCAAAGACCTGAACCACAAGGAGAACACAGCAGAGCTTTGAACTGATGTCAGACACTGAAGATTTAGCACTTCTGACAGTCTGACACAATCAGCACATTCAGACTGTCCTGTTCGGATCAGCCTGCTCACTTTAGTCCGGTTTGTTTATCAAAGCTACTTCCTGTCCCCGTCTGCTTTTCATTGATGTCTCTTTTTCTGTCAGCCTGAATTTTACATGTTGCTGTTTTACCTTGTTGAGTGTTTCTTTAATGCATTGTTAGGTGCTCTTTGGTGTCTTGAAAGGCTCCTCCAAATATAAAATGTATTGTTGTTATTGTTTATGAGTCAGATGTTTACTCTCTGACTCAGGGCATATATTGAGTCCTATCAGTATCTGAAGGAGAGAAGGTTTACAACCTTTCTTTATGCATATTAAGAAGTAAGAAAGGGCTCATCTCTTAACCCAGCTGATGAAGAGAGCCTCAGCTAATCTTCATACAACAGGGCGCCCAAACCCCAAGGCCTAATAACTGCTGACTGTGCAGACTATCAAGTTTAATCATTCTTTATTACACTTTTATCAGTGATTGTGTTTCTATAAGGATCCACCATCTGAGACCAGTCCACCGCACACTACATTATTCTGAAATGGTATTTTACTTAGAAAATTGAAAGACCATGGACATCGTTTTTTAAGCTGTATGTCCAGTTTGAATGAGGATCTTCAAACACAGCTCATAACTCTTAGTTTCTGTATTTGTTTAAAATCCTCCTCTTTGCTCCACAGAGTTCATCAGCAGAGATCAGAGGGTCCTGGTGGTCAGTCTGCCCAGCAGCTTCAAACTCACCTGGACTCCATATTTATGGTGAGTAGACGTACAGCTACTCCTGCTGACTACAACAGCCACAAACTCACTACTGAATTGTGATCAATACGGTATTAACAAGCATAATTTGTATTTACAATTGTCGTTGTAAGTGTATAAGTGCCTCCCAATGCCACTCAATACATAACGGAAGTTGCATGTTTTTTGTTGTTGCTTTTAGATAAACATATCACTCAACATATTGAGTTAATAGAGCAGCCTAATGATTTGGTAAATCACCAGAGAGCGTTGCTAGCTAACAACAGCTTGCAGTCCTGTGAGGGCAGAGCAGCCGTATGCGATGTGCGTGTTTTCAGTGTACGATACGGTGTATTTAAAGGTCTCCTATCATGCAAAATGCACTTCTTGATGTATTTTCTACATAAATATGTGTCCCCGGTGTGTCAGGAGACTCACACAGTGTCAGGATTGTTGTTGTTAGCATCTGGTGTTAGCATCTGGTGTTAGCTGCGCTAACGGATATAAGAAACTGTTTCTAGAACAAAAAGGAGGAGAGTCCTCTCCAGTCAGACTGAGAGGATCTTATAACTACAGCTCAGTGAGGTAAAGGACTCTGAGGGTTTAGATAGTTGACTTTAGTCTAAGTTATCTCAGTGGGTCTCAAACGTTTTGGTCACAATTTACGTAAACAAAATTATTTCCAAGGCACACCTTTATAATTATTAGGATGAATAAAAACGGGTTTGAAATCATTCCAATGTATACTATAGGACAGTAAGGCAAGGCAAGTTTATTTATACAGCACCTTTCAAAGTGCTTTACAAAAATGAAAGACATTAAGAGGCATTTAAAAACAGTCATTAAAAAGCAAAGATAATAAACATTAAAAGACAAAATACATGAATACAAGTTACAGTGCAGTTTAAGATACGTACGTTCAATTAAAGCAGCGGCAAAAAGAAAAGTCTTCAGCCTGGATTTAAAAATAGTCAGAGAGTGTTATGTTATTTTTGTTAAATAATGATATTTGATGAAAAACATATTAAGAGTACATACTTTCATAGGGGGAAAGTAGAAGATCAATGATAGAAATATAAAATGTAAAAAATCAAGAAGATACTGTAAGTGATCTCTACAATGAAACAGTTTAGTGCAGGATGTACAAAGATATTAATAGGAGGATGTGCAAAAAAGACAAACTAATTAACCTTTATTAACACATTAAAGAATACTTTAGGTTAAGGTCTTCTTTCAACTAAGAAAAAAGCTTTAGGGGTATCTATCTACAGATAACTATTAAGCCTGACAAAGTACTTAACGTCTAATATATTGCTTTCCAGCAATGTTAACTATGTTGAAGCACATATTTTAACTGATATTATACATATGAATTATACTCTTATGTAGATAGAATAAGAAATGTGCAGAATATGACAGTTTAATGGTGGAGGTACACACATATTGATAGATGTCTTGTAATGCACTGTTGAGGAACCTGTGACCCAAGTGTTTCATTCATTGCATAACTACACCGTAGTTGTGAATATGATATGTCAATAAACCTTAGAAAATCTTAAAATCTTTAAAGGGATGTGCAAAATAGTCATTATATACAGTCTTTAATTTATGGAACATGTTTGTTACATATTAATAGAATTTTTGATTTTTTGATTTGATTTTTGATTTTTGATTTGTGAATGGGAGAAGTAGTTGGAAAAAATACCAAACACTAATTATTCAAAGTAAAGTATTTCATTGTATATAAGGTAATACTAAGGAGGCATAGGCCTATATGATGATATAATGTTTGACATTATTGATATTAGAAAAGTGATTTGTTTTCCATGTCATTCGTGTGTTTTTCTTTTCAGAAAGTGAAGTTATTTATTTGTAAGCTCCAAATCCAAATGTTTCCCTCAACGGCCTTTGTGCCCTGGCATGTGGCCGTTGCGCCCTGAAAAAATATGTGACACCAAAGGCCAAATGGCCTTGCCCCTAAAATGACACAAATCCAAGCCTGCTGTCAACTTCTAATTTTGGGGAAAACGTCTTTTAAAACTACAATTCCCAGTAGAGACGTGCCATAGAGAACATGTTGCGAAACACAATAGCCAGCATGTGTATTTCTGGGGGGTCGTTCGAGTCCAGTTTTAAATAGTCTGCCGTGGTTTCGTTCCATTTCAAAGAGCTTGATGCTCGGTGTAACCTTGGCGCACTGCCACTCCAACATCCAATCCCAGAGCTTGAAGATGAATCACGGGGTTTGTCACAAAGCGGACAGGCGTTGTCACAACAATAGCTGGGGATTGTGGGTAGTGTAGTCTCTTTGGCGCTCCACATTTCAGAGAAAACAAGCTGTTTCTCAGAATTGAAGGGGAAAAACACAAAAGCATTGCACACAATTTAAACCTATCAATGTTGTTTAATTAACAAAAGGTAATCTGGTGTTTTTGAGTTGATGAGTAGTGCAGATATCACTGTCAAATCAATCGACAGTAAGGAGAATACTTACTTCCGGGTGTACAATTCTCCGTTATCCAATGGGAATGGACGCTCACATTGCCTTTAACACTAGAACCGCCAGAGATTTTTTATACCTAAAACCGCCACCGGGGTCAAATTGACCCAGCATTAGAATGCATTGATTTTCAAGGTAAAAGTATTGCTTTAAAAACAAAAATGGTCCTGTGGTAAAGGTATTTTGACAAGCAATTTTGTTAAATTGTTTCGTTTATTAACGCTACAACATAGCGTTTCGTGAGGCGGTTGTCGTTGTTGGGTGAAAAGCAAACAGCTGTTTGCTGCGGACAATTTTTAACAACATAGGGTGCTACATAACACACTTTCAGGAAAAGTCACGGACTGGGAGACTTTAATATGTTATTGAAAAAAAGTTACATACAATATAAAACAGCTCTGGGTCAAATTGACCCCGTTGGCGGTTCTAGTGTTAAGAGCTGCCGACATAAATGGATGGGGTGCTTCCATGAGCGCCAAATACCGCCGCCGATGGGAATACATTGCAATCAGTTGAAAGCTCTTTGCGTCCGTTTATGAAGCTGAAGGAGACTCAGCGCATCCCAACTGCACGCCATAGAACCCTGACCAAGCGTCGCTACTGGACGATCAAGGAGTGAGACTGTGTTGGATGTCCACCCCCCAATTAATACATTTGAAGCCTTACTTATATATATAATGTCAATAAGTTTATCTTTTTGTAGTGTAGTGGTCTTTTGTAGAGATTTTTCATTTATATCAGGCTGGGGTGGGGGGCGCCAGCAAAAATCTTGCCAGGGCAGCAAATTGGTCAGAAACGGCCCTGGTGTCATCCCCACAGCACCCCCTATTTCAAACATGTTCCCACGGCTATGGGTCTGTGTTTACATTAGCATTGCTAACACTCAGAGCTAACCTGTACTGGAGATGTGTAAAAAAGCAGGAAATTAAAAGGAACTCACCTTGTGGTAAACCTGAGAGAGAAAACGCATTTGAGCTCCATACTGTTTCAGAAATAATCCTTGATGTGGTTTGGAACATAATATGGAGTTTAATCACGGCAATGTTTAGCGGAGTTTCTGCTGTGAGACAGCCTTCTCTTCACAGACCTCAGTGCTTGCATGCGGACCTCCAAAGGGGCGTGGCCTGAAGCAGCTCGGTTACATTTAAAGGGCCAGGCCAAGCCCCCAGGAAGTGCACCGGACTCTGAGGCAAAAATGTGTTGTGTCCAAACGGCGGAAATACAATTTCCGTATCAGTCCGTGACGTCACTGGGCCCAGAAATACTTTTTCCCATTGACTAACATGGGGAAAGAGACGTCTGTAAATCTAAATAAATAAATAACTAAATAAACTAGTATGAACACTTGTATAGCCCTTAATATAATCATTAGGTTCTATGAGTTGTAAAATGCACTAAAAGCCGAATCTAGATTTATTTTCTCTCTCCATTCATTCTAGTGATCCGAGAGAGGGATCTCGGGGGCGGGGCTTAATGGCAGGAGGCGGGGCTTACGGGGCAACTCAACTGCGCATGCTCTGTGAGCGCACATACCGGTTCTTCTGCTCTGACAGCCAGGCAGACGTTTCGCTCTCTCAAAAGTTGGGCCATTCTGCCTTCATGCGCCAATGAGCAGCTCTCATAGGAAATAATGAGACCCCGCCTCCAACGCTGTATCCAGTTCTTATTATACATCCATGGACCAGACCCAGAATCAGCAGTTTGGTAACAGGCTGAAATAGAGGGGTATGAGGCTAGAATGGGTGATCTGTTTAATATTTTAAGCAAAACACTTCAGAGACATGTTTTATATAGATATGACTCTAAAATATATTGTTCACATATATCAATCAATCAATCAATGTTTATTTATAGCCCAATATCACAAATGTTACATTTGTCTCAGTGGTCTTCACAGTGTGTACAGAATATCAGTATGACAATACGACACCCTCTGTCCTTAGACCCTCTGTCCTTAGATCCTCTGTCCTTAGACCCTCTGTCCTTAGACCCTCACATCGTACAAGGAGAAACTTCCAGAGAAAACCCACAGTTTAAAGGGAAAAATGGGAGAAACCTCAGGGAGAGCAACAGAGGAGGGATCCCTCTCCCAGGACGGACACACGTGCAATAGATGCCGCGTGTAAATTGAAAAGATAATACATTTGCAACATAGGTAGTCCAAATGTTTAGAAATGCATGTGTGTATAATAGGAAGATGAATCCACGAGGATATCCATCCAGGACCTATGATCCAGGACCACAGCCACGACTCAAGATCCAGGGCTCGCGATCCAGGACACAGGACCGCAGGATCATCCATGTCTCCGGATCCCAGCGTATATAGACACCAAAAAGAAAGACATTTGGGGAAGCTGGGTTAATCGGAACATGAGATTGTTGGGGCAAAGCGTGGTCTGAAACCCACCTTGGCTCCGCGTGTCCGTTGATGAGCTGGTCAGATATTAAAAGAAGGAATTCAAAGCACCAGGATAAGGGTTAAACAATAATCTGTTTTAATGGTAAACAACAATACAATACACTTTAAAGGGGGTACCCCCTGCTCTGGTCCCAGTGCCGGGAGATCCCACCATATTGACGGCAGGAGGAAAAGAGACCGGACACAACAGGAGATATTGTAAGAACAACGGGGAGGAGTTGTATGGATGCTCCTCCCATACAGCTCATCTATTGGGCAGTATACAAACGATGGGCGTTTGTAGCGAATCAGCGCGAGCCAGCCGAGATGATCCGGAAACAAGAGTCTCTTCCGGTTGTGGCAAAACAAGCACATCTTGTATTCGTTGTCACACATTCTTGCAGTTCTGGACACACACACACATTTCCTGCATAGACTTCCCTCTCTGTGGCCCCCTCCCCCATCAGTTCAATACACACACAGTTTCACATACTGTTGGTATCTTAGCTGTTTATACACATATTTTAGACATGTCATGTATCGTTCCAGATACTTGACATGCTGTGTTTAGATAAGAATGTCTCCTCTCCCCCCTCTCTAGTTCCCTGTCATGCAACACTGCTCCTCCTCTCGGTCAGCGTGATTAAGCACATTTAAGCCAACTACTTCACAATGTTGTGGCAATTTAGTACTCACAACATGAAAGAATAAAACAGAGAGAAATCAATAAAACACAAACACAGGTATAGTTCAGCAATGAATACACACATCTTATCCTGCAGCCCCTCACGAATGTCACTTGTCTTTCTTTATGAAAGCCATATTTGTAAACGTTTAAATGTCATCGTCCCATGACGGCCATAGGATTATTTAACTAACCAAAGTTAACTGTAGTCTAAAGCCATCTCTGAACTTCCTCTCACCTCGAAGTCAGCATACTTGTAATGAATCCATTTATTGATAATTCAGGCCGACTATTGTCTCCAGGCCTCTTTATGAGCCTTGCAGGAAATGAATCATTAACTAACAAGACTTTAACTGCATGATATCTTAGTAAGATCTCTCTTGGAGTTCCCCTGTTAATTGCAAAGACCATTGATGATTAACAAAGAGACTCATGTGCCCCTCCTGATATCTGGAAACTGCAACAAGACTTTCTGAAAAATACTTAATGGGTAATCTTTTCACTCAAGGCAGAAATCACAGGTTATACCGCACCTTACCTACTCACAAATAGCCAAAAATTATTATATTGATTATATATAAAAGTGGAAGAAAAGACTATTGTGCTAATCTACTTTTACTAAAAAGGGAACATTGTTTCAGGAATATATAAAAAACCTCTCTATAATTAAGAGGAAAAAATTTACTTTGTCCCTTAAAATGTAACACACATGAATATAGAAAACCACACATATATTAGTGATAACATAATTCAACACACTTCTTATATATCAGGTGACATTAAAATGAATATACCAAAAATACGCTGTATTAAACTTTTTGCTGTATCACGTTACTTCAGAGTACACAGGTATAGACAGAGAAGGAAGAAGTAAGATGTCCCCCGACAAACTAAGCCTATATCAGCAAAACTAGGGGCTGGATCTAATCAGCCCTAACTATAAGCTTTATCAAAAAGGAAGGTCTTAAGCGCACTCTTAAAAACGGATAGGGTGTCTGCCGCCCGAACACAAACTGGAAGCTGATTCCACAAATGTGGAGCTTGATAAGAAAAGGCTCTGGCTCCCATATAGCATAATAGTTGACCTTTAAGGAAGTATCTGATTTGAGAGACCATCTCCATGCTGCCGTCTGCACATATGATCTGTGTCTCCCTCCAGTTAGAGACGTTCTTGAGTAAAGAACTGTTTAATCCACACCACAACAACCCGTGAGAGCTGGGGTTAGAAGGATTACAAATAACAATAAACAATAAATGAAATGCATGTTTTTCAATTACCTATTCATGCTCTAAAAGCTGTTCAATAGAGAGAGCTGACACATGTATACCATTAGCACGCTAACACACGAACACACACACCCTTCACAGCTTAACCATATAAACCATATAAATTAAGAGAAATTATATAAATATACCGCGTACACCTACAGAGACGCGCTAAATCCTGTCTTGAGAGCTTTTACTTTACACATTTCTCCGGCATCTCAAATATCTATGTCACGTGAAACGCTCACTGCAGATTAGTTACACCTCTATTGTTAAATTGAATACAGTAGTGCCACGTTGATAACAGTTCATTCAACAATCATTAAAGATCACGTCTTTATTATGATGTATGTAAGCCACACACATCAGCATGTGAGCATGTGTGTGTTCATGCTGGATTATATTATTACATTACCAGGCATTGTATTTTTAGTCCCTGTGAAGACAATGCAAACATTAAATTGCTGAACACTCGAGAGAAGATATTTTCTACGGGTAGGAACAAACGTCAGCGTAGCTGTGAGACATAAACTGCAAGTGTAAGGCAGGTTCACGATCTGATGTTGACTTCCAGTTCAAGTTTACATTTGATTCTGTTCCAGCTGCTGGAGGACCACATCGTCACTTTTGTGAAGAGCGAGCTGAAGAAGATCCAGATAGTCCTGACTTCAGATTACCCAGAATGCTTAGAGAGTCAGAGTGAGGACGAGGAGGTGTTGGACGGTGAGGATGAAGAGCAGAGGAGGAGCAGCAGAGAGGCCTTTCTGAACATCTCACTGCACTTCCTGAGGAGCATGAAGCAGGAGGAGCTGGCTGACCGTCTGCAGAGCAGTAAGAGGGTTTAACACATTGAACACGATGGAGAGGAGGTGGAGGGAAGATGGGAGGAGTTTCACTTTATAAAACTTTGTCTTTAATCAGTGCATACGCTTATTGGTTAGTACTGGCACTAAAACATTAGTGAAGGAAGTAACAAAACATTGCACTGTTAATATTTTTGTTCTGGGTACATTATTAATAAATGGAGCTGAACAGTTAACTATGATGATATGAAACTAGTGAACGTTAATGTTCACCATTAATCGGGGAAACTTATTATATTTTGTTGACGCTGACTGACATCTTACTTACTTTTTAATCACATTTCTTGTTTGTCCACTCAGGAACTGCTGCTGCTGTCTGTGGACGTAAACTCAAATCCACCCTGAAGGAGAGGTTCCAGTGTGTGTTTGAGGGCATTGCTAAAGCAGGAAACCAAACCCTTCTGAACCAGATCTACACAGAGCTCTACATCACAGAGGGGGGGTCTGCAGAGGTCAATGAGGAACATGAGGTCAGACAGATTGAGACAGCATCCAGGAAACCACACAGACCAGAAACAACCATCAGACAAGAAGACCTCTTTAAAGCCTCACCTGGAAGAGATGCACCAATCAGAGCAGTGCTGACAAAGGGCGTGGCTGGCATTGGGAAAACAATCTTAACACAGAAGTTCACTCTGGACTGGGCTGAAGGCAAAGCCAACCAGGACATCCAGTTCATATTTCCATTCACCTTCAGAGAGCTGAACGTGGTGAGAGAGAACAAGTACAGCTTGGTGGAACTTGTTCATCACTTCTTCCCTGAAACCAGAGACGCAGGAATCTGCAGGTTTGAAAAGTTCCCGGTCGTGTTCATCTTTGACGGTCTGGATGAGTGTCGACTTCCTCTGGACTTCCTCAACACTGAGATCCTGACTGATGTCACAGAGACCACCTCAGTGGATGTGCTGCTGACAAACCTCATCAGGGGGAAGCTGCTTCCCTCTGCTCGCCTCTGGATAACCACACGACCTGCAGCAGCCAATCAGATCCCTCCTGAGTGTGTGGACATGGTGACAGAGGTCCGAGGGTTCACTGACCCACAGAAGGAGGAGTACTTCAGGAAGAGATTCAGAGATCAGGAGCAGGCCGGCACCATCATCTCCCACATCAAGACCTCACGAAGCCTCCACATCATGTGCCACATCCCAGTCTTCTGCTGGATCTCTGCTTCAGTTCTGGAGGAGGTGTTGAAAACCAGAGAGGGAGGAGAGCTGCCCAAGACCCTGACTGAGATGTACATCCACTTCCTGGTGGTTCAGTCCAAAGTGAAGATCATCAAGTATGATGGAGGAGCTGAGACGGATCCACACTGGAGTCCAGAGAGCAGGAAGATGATGGAGTCTCTGGGGAAACTGGCTTTTGAGCAGCTGCTGAAAGGCAACCTGATCTTCTATGAGTCCGACCTGACAGAGTGTGGCATCGATATCAGAGCAGCCTCAGTGTACTCAGGAGTGTTCACACAGGTCTTTAGAGAGGAGAGAGGAATGTACCAGAACAAGGTGTTCTGCTTCGTCCATCTGAGCGTTCAGGAGTTTCTGGCTGCTCTTCATGTCCATCTGACCTTCATCGACTCTGGAGTCAACCTGCTGTCAGAGAAACAACCCACCTACCGATGGACTAAAGTCAAACCTAAACTAAGACATCTCTACCAGAGTGCTGTGGACAAGGCCTTAAAGAGTCCAAACGGACACCTGGACTTGTTCCTCCGCTTCCTCCTGGGTCTTTCACTGCAGACCAATCAGACTCTCCTACGAGGCCTGCTGTCTAAGACAGGAAGTGACTCAGATATCAATCAGGAAACAGTCCAGTACATCAAGAAGAAGATGGATGAGGATCTGTCTCCAGAGAGAAGCATCAACCTGTTCCACTGTCTGAATGAACTGAATGATCGTTCTCTAGTGGAGCAGATCCAACAGTCCCTGAGTTCAGGAAGTCTCTCCACAGATAAACTCTCTCCTGCTCAGTGGTCAGCTCTGGTCTTCATCTTACTGTCATCAGGAGAAGATCTGGACGTGTTTGACCTGAAGAAATACTCTGCTTCAGAGGAGGCTCTTCTGTGGCTGCTGCCAGTGGTCAAAGCCTCCAGGAAAGCTCTGTGAGTGGATGGATAAAAGGAATACAAACATTATCAAATGCGTTTATGTGTCATAGATGAGAAATAATACTTTATTTATTTTATTTATTTAAAATCCTTCAGGCTGAGCGGCTGTAAGCTGTCAGAGAGAAGCTGTGAAGCTCTGTCCTCAGTCCTCAGCTCCCAGTCCTCTAGTCTGAGAGATCTGGACCTGAGTAACAACGACCTGCAGGATTCAGGAGTGAAGAACCTGTGTGCTGGACTGCAGAGTCCACTCTGTTCTCTGGAAACTATTAGGTAGGTGTAACATAGTTTAAAGTCAGGGTCCTCTGAGCTCTCTTTTTCATGTATTACTTGTTTTTTGGTCTGATGAAAATCCTCCTTCAGGCTGAGCGGCTGTAAGCTGTCAGAGAGAAGCTGTGAAGCTCTGTCCTCAGTCCTCAGCTCCCAGTCCTCTAGACTGAGAGAGCTGGACCTGAGTCACAACGACCTGCAGGATTCAGGAGTGAAGAACCTGTGTGCTGGACTGGAGAGTCTACACTGTGAACTGGAAACTCTCAGGTCAGGATTTAAGATTATTTTAAGTTTACCCCTTACGATTTAATTGGCTTAATATATTTAATTATTCAAATGACTTATTAAAGAGCGTCTTTGGACTAAGGGGACCAATATTCAAGGGTTTTTGTGTTTTCACTAATCGAGACTTCCAGGTTAGATGAGAAGATTATTCATTTTTTAAACAGTAATTATTAATGCTGTTCTTATTTGTTTAAATGATGACGCCCCAATGGGACTATATATCTTGTTTTTTATTTCACACGATTTATTCCATATCACTCTGAAAAGCTTATTGAATTAGTGTGTGTTGGACTGGATTGGTAACACTTTACGCCATCAGTAAAAGGTGACCGTGAGTAGAGTCAACATTGTGTGTGTGTGTGTGTGTGTGTGTGTGTGTGTGTGTGTGTGTGTGTGTGTGTGTGTGTGTGTTCAGGCTCTCAGGTTGTCTGGTCACAAAGGAAGGCTTTGCTTCTCTGACTTCGACTTTGAGCTCCAACCCCTCCCATCTGAGAGAGCTGGACTTGAGCTACAATCATCCAGGAGTCTTTGGAGTGAAGATGCTGTCTGTTCTACAGAAGGATCCAGACTGGACACTGGAGACTCTCAGGTATGGACAGACCGTCAGCATGAATAACTTTTACTTCTTGTTTCTCTTAATTCTGTTCAGAGAAGTTTTAAAGCCTGATAAAGGAAACACACGGATCCCTTAAAATCTTATTGAATGGAAACATTTATAAGTAACATTAACATTGAGGAAGTAAAATCATTCTCATTATTTATCAGGGATGTGTTGGTTCTCTACTTCGGTCCTGACTATTAAATCTTAACAACTTCTAAATATATTGAAATGAAAATTCTGCTTTCGGATATTAATAGTGATCATTTGATTTTCATTGTAGAACCACCAGTAGGATCAAACGGTTTATTCCCATGCAGCCCCAACAACAGCCTCTGATTCGTCAACAGACTTCATGCAATGCTTCATGGGATGCATCATTAGATCTATAAACTCTAACCCTAAGACACACGACCAAGCAAAACAAGTATCATGTCTTATGTAGCCTAAAGTAAAAAAGGGGCGAAATGGGAAGACACCGGATCAAACCTCTGTTGTTTGGGGAAATATCTGAACGTTTGTTCAACACACGAGAACACCTGTTATTACACCTATAATATTTTATAATGCATTAGAAAATCTTCCTGACTGTGTTTCTTTCTCCAGAGTGGACCATGGTGGAGAGAAGTGGTTAAAACCAGGTCTGAGGAAGTGTAAGTGTGGATTCATGTTGACTTGTGATGAGAAGAAATAAACAACATCAGTACACAGAATACATAAAGCCTTCGTATGAATCTGATGATAAACCAATGCTGGTTCTTTTACTCTCCATCAGATGCCTGTGAACTCACACTGGACACAAACATAGCACACAGACACCTCAAACTCTCTGACAACAACAGGGAGGTGATACGTGTGAGAGAGAAGCAGCGATATCCTGATCATCCAGAGAGGTTTGACTACTGGGAACAGCTGATGTGTAAAGAAGCTCTGACTGGTCGCTGTTACTGGGAGGTCGAGTGGAGAGGAGAGGTTTCTATATCAGTGACTTCCAGAGGAGGCAGAGAGGAGTGTTGGTTTGGAGGGAATGATCAGTCCTGGAGTCTGAGCTGCTCTGATGGTGATTACTCTGTCTGGCACAAACAGACAGTAACACACATCTCCTCCCCCTCCTCCTCCTCCTCCTCCTCCTCCTCCTCCTCCTCCTCCTCCTCCTCCTCCTCCTCCTCCTCCGCCTCCTCCTCCTCTGGTAGAGTAGCAGTGTATCTGGATCATCCTGCTGGCTATCTCTCCTTCTACAGAGTCTCCTCTGACACACTGACCCACCTCCACACCTTCAGAACCACATTCACTGAACCTCTCTATGCTGGGTTTGGGCTCTGGTCATATGACTCCTCAGTGTCTCTGTGTCCTCTGTAGGAGGAGACCACTTCCTGTCCTGTAGTCTGAATGTTGAAGATACAGAAGGCTTCACTTTGGTTAACATTTGGCTCAATGATTGTGCGTAATTGAAGAGGCATTTAGTTATTCTGCTCCATACGTCTCAGTAACGGAGAGGATCTCGGGGGACAGAGATCTCAGACTCCGTTTCGCTTCATATGGCTTCCTCATTGGTGAAGCACATTATTTGCACCACATATGAACATTGGATATGCATTCCTGGGTCTCAGGAAAATATAGCCAGTTATACAATAAGTTTAAAAACATATGTTTCTTGTAACAAATGCAGTTTGTTAACGTTATAATTGAATTACACATATAAAGCAACACTTACACTTAGCAAAACACACCGAACTAAGCCGTGAACTAAGATGGGTTTGGCGACACAAGCGAATGCTGCGAACGCAGCGAACGCTGATCTCCTAGAAATTAAGGACGCTTTATCCAGCATTATCAAGGATATAAGTAACTTAAATAAAACCCGAAAGGATGACAGCATAACAATTAAAAAACTGCTGGAAACGATCGGAAGCATGGAGAGGATAATGAAGGAAAAAGACGAGAAGATTGTCACGCTGGAGAGAAGGATCGAGGAGCTTGAACAACACACCCGAAAAGAGGATGTTATCGTGACCGGATTAAAAATCATAAAACCATATTCCCAGGTAGTGAAAGGAGATTCTGCGCCTTCTACAGACAGAGACGGACATGATTCGGTCGAAACACAGGTGCTCGAGGCACTTCACGATCGTGGCGTGTACCTGAAGTCTGAGGAGATTGAGATCTGCCACACACTTGGGAAGCCGTCGGAAAGTGGATTCCAAAGGGTGATCATAACACTTGTGAGCAGAAAGACAAAAGTTCTTATGACGATAAACGCCAAGAAACTGAAAGGGACCGGAATCTACATTAACGAGCACCTCACGAAAAGGAACGCGGATATCGCAAGAACTGCGAGAGACCTGATGAAGAGGAACAAAATGGAAGCTACCTGGACCAGGGACTGTAAAAATATTCATCAAAACAAACGAAGGAAAAGTATCGATTGTGAAGGACAGTGAGGACTTGTCTATATTTTAATGAACTCTGAGGATAAGAATATTACTCCCGCTAAAGTATTGACAAATAATGCAATTACATCTATGCGCTATTTTCCCTCACTTCATTCATTAAGCGTGAGTCAAAAGTTACATCGACCACTCGATAATAATCCGTTATATTCAGTTTTGTATTTTGTCCTGTAGGTTAAAATAAATCCTCTGTATTGTATGATCAGTCATGAACTTACCTCTGTGTATGCACCATGGACTCAAATCACCCAGCCAGTGACCGGAGTGACCGGAGTGACCTCTAAGGATCTAAATCTCTTTGATGTAAATCTAATAAGACATAACTGCTTCGACTCCCACATTGACCCAGACTCTAATTTCTTCAGGAATCTTACCAACAACTGCTGCTACTACAGTGAAACACTTTTTAACTTAGAACTTAAAGCTATTAATGGCTTTTCATTAATATACTTTAATGCCCGTAGCCTTAATGGAAATAGTGACAAAATCAAACTATATCTTCAACTCATAAATAGATCTTTTGACATCATTGCAATCTCAGAGACCTGCAAACTGACTCAAACACTGTTGACCATTCTTTACCCGATTATGTGGCTTTTCATATGAATGGCAAACTCCAAAGAGGTGGAGGGGTTACACTGTTTGTTAAAAACACACTTTCTGCGAGATTGGTAGAAAGTCTTTCCCTCTGCTGCAACACCCTCCTTGAATCTGTCACCGCAGACATTGAGCTAAAACAGAACAACCATATACTCGTCTCATGCATGTACAGAAAGCCTGGAAGTAATCTTGAGGAATTTAATGAATAAGTAGAAAACATGCTCAGACCTCATAGAATTAAAAACCTTTATGTGTGTGGAGATTTCAACGTTCATTTATTCAAATACAACTCGCTCCAACAGGCGAGACACTTCATGGATATGTTTTCTTCTCTCGGGCTTCTCCCTCTAATAACCAAACCAACCAGGTTAACTAGCACTACTGAAACCTCATTGATAACATGTTCACTAACGTCATAGTGGGGCCCTCATCACTGATGCCAGGTTAACTAGCACTACTGAAACCTCATTGATAACATGTTCACTAACGTCATAGTGGGGCCCTCATCACTGATGCCAGGTTAACTAGCACTACTGAAACCTTATTGATAACATGTTCACTAACGTCATAGTGGGGCCCTCATCACTGATGCCAGGTTAACTAGCACTACTGAAACCTCATTGATAATATGTTCACTAACGTCATAGTGGGGCCCTCATCACTGATGCCAGGTTAACTAGCTCTACTGAAACCTCATTGATAACATGTTCACTAACGTCATAGTGGGGCCCTCATCACTGATGCCAGGTTAACTAGCTCTACTGAAACCTTATTGATAACATGTTCACTAACGTCATAGTGGGGCCCTCATCACTGATGCCAGGTTAACTAGCACTACTGAAACCTTATTGATAACATGTTCACTAACGTCATAGTGGGGGCCCTCATCACTGATGCCAGGTTAACTAGCTCTACTGAAACCTCATTGATAACATGTTCACTAACGTCATAGTGGGGCCCTCATCACTGATGCCAGGTTAACTAGCTCTACTGAAACCTCATTGATAACATGTTCACTAACGTCATAGTGGGGCCCTCATCACTAATGCCAGGTTAACTAGCACTACTGAAACCTCATTGATAACATGATCACTAACATCATAGTGGGGCCCTCATCACTGATGCCAGGTTAACTAGCTCTACTGAAACCTCATTGATAACATGTTCACTAACGTCATAGTGGGGCCCTCATCACTGATGCCAGGTTAACTAGCTCTACTGAAACCTCATTGATAACATGTTCACTAACGTCATAGTGGGGCCCTCATCACTGATGCCAGGTTAACTAGCTCTACTGAAACCTCATTGATAACATGTTCACTAACGTCATAGTGGGGCCCTCATCACTAATGCCAGGTTAACTAGCTCTACTGAAACCTCATTGATAACATGATCACTAACATCATAGTGGGGCCCTCATCACTGATGCCAGGTTAACTAGCTCTACTGAAACCTCATTGATAACATGTTCACTAACGTCATAGTGGGGCCCTCATCACTGATGCCAGGTTAACTAGCACTACTGAAACCTTATTGATAACATGTTCACTAACGTCATAGTGGGGCCCTCATCACTGATGCCAGGTTAACTAGCTCTACTGAAACCTCATTGATAACATGTTCACTAACGTCATAGTGGGGCCCTCATCACTGATGCCAGGTTAACTAGCTCTACTGAAACCTCATTGATAACATGTTCACTAACGTCATAGTGGGGCCCTCATCACTAATGCCAGGTTAACTAGCACTACTGAAACCTCATTGATAACATGATCACTAACATCATAGTGGGGCCCTCATCACTGATGTCAGGTTAACTAGCTCTACTGAAACCTCATTGATAACATGTTCACTAACGTCATAGTGGGGCCCTCATCACTGATGCCAGGTTAACTAGCACTACTGAAACCTCATTGATAACATGATCACTAACGTCATAGTGGGGCCCTCATCACTGATGCCAGGTTAACTAGCTCTACTGAAACCTCATTGATAACATGTTCACTAACGTCATAGTGGGGCCCTCATCACTGATGCCAGGTTAACCAGCTCTACTGAAACCTCATTGATAACATGTTCACTAACGTCATAGTGGGGCCCTCAACACTGATGCCAGGTTAACTAGCACTACTGAAACCTCATTGATAACATGATCACTAACATCATAGTGGGGCCCTCATCACTGATGCCAGGTTAACTAGCTCTACTGAAACCTCATTGATAACATGTTCACTAACGTCATAGTGGGGCCCTCATCACTGATGCCAGGTTAACCAGCTCTACTGAAACCTCATTGATAACATGTTCACTAACGTCATAGTGGGGCCCTCATCACTAATGCCAGGTTAACCAGCTCTACTGAAACCTCATTGATAACATGTTCACTAACGTCATAGTGGGAACCTCATCACTGATGCCAGGTTAACTAGCACTACTGAAACCTCATTGATAACATGATCACTAACATCATAGTGGGGCCCTCATCACTGATGCCAGGTTAACTAGCTCTACTGAAACCTCATTGATAACATGTTCACTAACGTCATAGTGGGGCCCTCATCACTGATGCCAGGTTAACTAGCACTACTGAAACCTCATTGATAACATGTTCACTAACGTCATAGTGGGGCCCTCATCACTAATGCCAGGTTAACCAGCTCTACTGAAACCTCATTGATAACATGTTCACTAACGTCATAGTGGGGCCCTCATCACTGATGCCAGGTTAACTAGCTCTACTGAAACCTCATTGATAACATGTTCACTAACGTCATAGTGGGGCCCCTCATCACTGATGCCAGGTTAACCAGCTCTACTGAAACCTCATTGATAACATGTTCACTAACGTCATAGTGGGGCCCTCATCACTAATGCCAGGTTAACCAGCTCTACTGAAACCTCATTGATAACATGATCACTAACGTCATAGTGGGGCCCTCATCACTGATGCCAGGTTAACTAGCTCTACTGAAACCTCATTGATAACATGTTCACTAACGTCATAGTGGGGCCCTCATCACTGATGCCAGGTTAACTAGCTCTACTGAAACCTCATTGATAACATGATCACTAACGTCATAGTGGGGCCCTCATCACTAATGCCAGGTTAACTAGCTCTACTGAAACCTCATTGATAACATGTTCACTAACGTCATAGTGGGGCCCTCATCACTGATGCCAGGTTAACTAGCTCTACTGAAACCTCATTGATACCATGTTCACTAACGTCATAGTGGGGCCCTCATCACTGATGCCAGGTTAACTAGCTCTACTGAAACCTCATTGATACCATGTTCACTAACGTCATAGTGGGGCCCTCATCACTAATGCCAGGTTAACCAGCTCTACTGAAACCTCATTGATAACATGTTCACTAACGTCATAGTGGGGCCCTCATCACTGATGCCAGGTTAACTAGCTCTACTGAAACCTCATTGATCACATGATCACTAACATCATAGTGGGGCCCTCATCACTGATGCCAGGTTAACTAGCACTACTGAAACCTTATTGATAACATGTTCACTAACGTCATAGTGGGGCCCTCATCACTGATGCCAGGTTAACTAGCTCTACTGAAACCTCATTGATCACATGATCACTAACATCATAGTGGGGCCCTCATCACTGATGCCAGGTTAACT